GCACCGGAGCCCACGGTCTTATTGCGCGAAATCCAACAGGCTGCCGATGATATATCACAGCTCGTAGGGCGATTTGGATTCAAGATGGCAAAAACGCTGACGACTCCTTCTATCAAAAAGGCGCTTTTCGCGGACAAGAAATTGCTTCGACTACCGTGCCTAATGTACGCAGGCGAGTTCTTCTGCGTAATCACAAGGTTCTGTTCCAAACCAATCCACGACTCGACTTCGGCACCGCTGCTGTGGTGGCTCTGGAACGAGCTACTCGACGTCCTGCCGCCGATAGGCGAGACGCGGAACTGCAGACTCGACTTCAAACCCGCCTCGAGAACTGACATAGCCCTGCCCTATGCGATCACCATCGACATTTCAAGCAAAGACAACAAAGACAACATCGAGCTTACCGCGTCGTATGGCGGGCTATTTGATGAGCGGCGCATCTTTGATGTACCTATCACGCAATTTGGCTTTCCCAAGTCGGAAAAGTACGGCAAGCTGACCAAGACTACCCTGGACATCAGCCAAGACTCGTACGAAGGAAACGGCTGCACCGCTGACATTTTTGACTACCTCGTGCCTCGTTTGGAGAGTGAATGGCGGCGCGCCATGAAGGCCTTCCCTGCAGAGAAAGAGGAGGACCTGGTCATCGCTCTAGCTAAGAGTGGCAAAGCGGGAGACGACCGCTTCCCCATATCGGAGAACCAACAACAGCAGTTTCGGAACCTGCTACGGCGCTTTCCGATCGACGCCAGGGAATACGTAGCCGAGAATGGGCTCGTAGGAATGGAGAAGGGACCGTACAGCGAGTCTGCATTCCAAGCCCCAGGCCCGAAGGACTAGGACGTGGGTGAGTGTTCATCTACCAGCATTTGATCAGCGCCATCTTTCTCACCTTGTATTCGGACTTTTCCCCGTCTCCACATAAGCTGAGTAGATAGGAAACCCCGAATACGTACGTCTCCAAATATGGTTCTTTCGCCGATATCTTTGAGCTAGCACTGCGAGTGAATTCTATGCTATAAAAATATCCGTCGCGGGGCGTCATGTCACGGCTCTGCAGGTAGAGAGGACGCTAGACTCATACCATCAAAACTAACCATACAAACCGTCCTGCCCTCGCGCTCATCTCCGCGGCGATATGCAACATTGAAACATGGCGAGAAGAAAGATGCAAGTGATAGAGCTAAAATATTTGGATTGTTTCTACATCAAAGTCTGGACTTTGGGGCCTGTTCTGCTACCACGTCGTCCGTACGAGCCCCAAAAGCCGGCAGGGCCTTGATGAAGTCCTCCATGGCTCCCTCTTCAACCAAAGGCGCCGTGACGTAGTCTTTAGCATTGGTTCTTTCCACCAGCGTGGGCAAGAGGGGCAGCAAGTTGGAGTATGCCCTGTTCTCGTTGTCCCGCAACGCAGATCGAGTGCCGTGGCCATGTTCGACAAACCAGGATGGATCCTTCTGAATGCAAGACTTTTCAAACACGTTGAGCACCTCGGGCGCGATGTTGCCTTGCGCCCGGGCTGCCTCGTAGGCCATGCGCTGTCCAATGGCCTCCACCATCGCTCCGCATCGAGGGAGAACGCTGTTATTATAGGCCGTGCCCCTCAAGCTGCCGGATGCGCCGAGTGCGAGGTTTTTGTCTCTCGCAACCTCTTCGAGCATCCCGGCTTCATACATGGCAAGAGATCCTGTCGGATCAGTCGGTTTTGGAAGACCATATCTGTTCATGAGGAGTTCAGAAGCGAGACCTATGAGGTGTCAGGACCCATATCTAAGCTCGTGTGTGAAGAAGACGTACGAATACTTATAACCAGAGTGTCGCCCTCGGCCACGGAGTTGCCCTGGAAGGTTGATGCGAGTTCGGTTATTTGGTTGTGCGCGTACAGGCCCTGCCAGCCACATCGCTCCGCGAGCTCGTGAAGTAGACGAGACGATCGCACAACCAAGACTTTGAAGACGGTAGCGATCCCTCGGCGCACGTCTGCGTTGTGATTGTGGT